CATTGAGCATCTGCCCCCTGGTGGTCAGTGTGTGTCATAGTGACCGGTCATTCCCAGTTGTTCTGCTGTTAGGGTCAATTTGCATATTACCATTTTATTATATAGGATTATTTTCCATACGAACAACTTTAAACCTACCTTTGCCCCACACTGCGTATACAACAGGAGTGAATCTCAAAAAAGTTACTCTAACTGAAAGAAGCCAAACCATAAGAGTACATCTGTATGATTCATTTCTATAAAAATTGAAGAAAATGCCAAGTAATCTCGTGGCAGGAAGGTAATCTGATGCCTGGCAATAGGGAGAATTGGAAACATTCATAATTGAGATTAAAAATGAGAAGGAGGATACTTTTAGGGCTAGTCGTTATGTGTGTTAGCTTGTTTTAATGGTTTCAGGATATCAGAACTTGCCAAATTGTTTAGTTAGTTTATTATGTCAGTTATATCTCAATTTTAAAAAGTAATAAAGAATGCATGGTGGTTGTTACAAAGCTAAGGGCTCATGACATGATTTGGGGAACCTTGAAGGTGAGTTTTTGCTTGATGGTAAATCATGTGGATTTACATTTTCAGTTGTGACCTTGTAGATCATCATTAGCTGTGAGAGTATAGAAGAAAGTGAGGAAATGCTATCACTGGATATTGGTAGTAGTCATATGGCTAATATGGAGCCTGAGATGAATCTTGGAATTACTGTGAACACATTTCAGTCACTCTTTTAAATCTGTCCTCAAATTGTTGGATCATGAGATGGATGCCAGAACACTGTGTTCGACGATACTCATTCACACTTCTAGTTAATGAGTAAATATAACCATAGACATTGTTTTATCTTAATAAGAGAGTTAATTCTGATTTCTAGATGACATTTCTATCCTTTGTTAAAAAAAAAACAAACAGTAAAATCCAGCCATATGATTTATTTCACATTAGTGGATGCCTTTTATCCAAGGACTTCTCGAAGTCATTTAATGTCAAAGTCTGTGATAGACCAACTTCCTGTCTGACAGGTGAAAGGAAAGAGAATTAAGTAACTTCCAAGAGTCACAGAGCAATTCTGTGAAGGCAAATCTGGGTGCATGTGAGTGCACATGAGGGCATGTGTTATGGATGGTCGGTAAGGTACAAACCACACCAATTTCTTTCATGTTGTTTCTTATTGAGGCATTTTTTTCTTTTTAGTGGCCTTACTTTTCCATTTCCCAAGCAGGCCAGATATTTTTATGACCAAGGACTTCTCGAAGTCATTTAATGTCAAAGTCTGTGATAGACCAACTTCCTGTCTGACAGGTGAAAGGAAAGAGAATTAAGTAACTTTCAAAAGTCACAGAGCAATTCTGTGAAGGCAAATCTGGGTGCATGTGAGTGCACATGAGGGCATGTGTTATGGATGGTCAGGCAAGGTACAAACCACACCAACTTCTTTCATGTTGTTGCTTATTGAGGCATTTTTTTTTTCTTTTTAGTGGCCTTACTTTTCCGTTTCCCAAGCAGGCCAGATATTTTTATGGAAGGGTATGTCATGGGCAAGTCACACAGACTGCAAGAATGTCCCATGACCAGAGAAGAAATTAACATCTCACAAGATACTATATCCCAAACCTCTCTCCCTTCAAGATTGTCCCTTGCTTTGGGGTGTGGTTAGTACTTAGCAGGCTTTTGGTATTGCTTTTGATTCACATTGATTTATCTTATAATCAGCATCTACTATGTTGCAAGCATTTGGCCAAAGTCTTAGGATACATTTAATTCCATGATCACTACAACTGAAATATGGGTAATAAAATTCGGCTTGTTTAGTTTAAATACCTTGTCCAGGGTCAAACAGGTAATAAGTAATGAGTCTGGATTTGAAACTAGAGCATTCGAGGCAGACAGACTGTGTTTTTCTACACATAGCTGTGGGACCTTGGGTAAGTTGCTTACTTGAATTTGAGACTTAATGTCCTCATCTATAAGAAAGAATTATAATATTTACATTACAGGGAAGTTGTGTTGCAAGTCTCATAGAACATCATAGATGCTCAGTAAACACTATTGCACTGGCCTCCCAACCCCTTCTTTCCAGATCCTTTGCCTTCCCAGTCTGTCAGTCTCAAGCACATGAGACTCAGTCCAGCTGTTGGCTGCGCAGTTGTCCACTCAGTGCAGCTCTCCTTGCTCAAGATCTGTCTACTCAGAAAGATTCTGAGTGTTTTGAAGACAGAGACTCTCTCTCACTTATCTCTGTCCCCCCAGTGCCCAGCACAGGGTCCAGTAGGTGCTTATGAATTATATTGACAGGTGTCTTCAAGAGGTGTTTCCAGCGCATTTAGAGAATTTTTTGCAACCAATGTCCCACATCCCAGATTCCTCCTGCCTACTCTTTGTCTTCATTCCAGAGACCACTTCATCTCCATCATTTGAACATCCTCTGATTGGAAGAGCTCCAGTTCCCCTGGGTGGAACTCAGGTCTGTGTGGTGGCACGTGGTTGGGACGGCTTCCAGTGTTCCACTAAGCTGGCCATGGTTTTGTGATGGGCATGTGCCCTGTACTCACAGATCTGCTCACACCTGACCAGGTCTCCTTCTCTCAGAGCCTTCTCTGGACCTTAATGTCATGTTGACATTCTACCTCTCAACCCAGTTTGATAAGGCTGCCTGTTATTCATTCGGTCAATGGACACCTAGCCTCGTGTTTGCAATCATTATTTAGGGAGGGCACCACACGGTGCCTGGCATGCAGCGCTCGATCAGTATTCACAATGATTAAGTGTGCAACTAGTAATTTTTGCTACTCACAATTCAGCACATTCCCAACACTACCTGACGTCCCCAAAGGAAAGGAGAAGAGGCTTTGGGCCAGCCAGGGCCCACCGCTGTCTCGCCCCGTAGTGGCATCTGCGATGACTCACTGATTGCTGCCGATTCCCTGGGGATCAGTTTTTCTCATCTAAGTGACAGTGTGTAAACTTCCATAGAGGACGCCACCTTGTCTGACAGCCAGGACAGCTGTGCAGAGAGCGGGCGCGCCAGGCGCCTCTCCAACAACCCCACGCCCTGCCACCTCGTTTGTTTTCCCGAGAGCAGCTCGGGATGCTTGACAATGTCTCCTAAGGGGAACGCCGTATTTTAGGAACTGGATCGTCCCCCACCGGTGTCCTCCCCCCGCATCCCAGACAGCCATCCCGTGGTGCACCCGTCTCAGTCAAAAGGAGACCAAAGGCGCACGCAAATGAGGACAATCGAAGGAAGATTTATCGCCTGCAAGATTGATCAAGGTGTGGGTGGAGACAGGACAGCATGAATCCCAAGGGCAGCTGCGAGGGCCCAGAGTGGGATAAAGCCTGCTGCTGTCAGGTGAACAGTGGCTTTCTGTAGAATAGTGGTTCTCAACCTTCTGGCCCTTTCAATACAGTTCCTCATGTTGTGACCCAACCATAAAATTATTTTCGTTGCTACTTCATAACTGTAATGTTGCTACTGTTATGAATTGTAATGTAAATATCTGATATGCAGGATGGTCTTAGGCGACCCCTGTGAAAGGGTCGTTTGACCGCCAAAGGGGTCGCAACCCACAGGTTGAGAACCGCTGGCTTAGAGCTTTTGTAAGCCGAGCCCCAGAGTTTCTTCCCCACCACAGTGGAAATGAGGTCCTTGTCCTCAGTTTCTGAGCCCAGTGACTTGGGTGAGGGCTGTAAAGACACTGAATAGCACTGTACCTGGCTTTTCTGGCAGGTGCCTCACTTCCTTATTGGCACTTGTTTCATCCATGAAATGAGAAAAGGTGGGAGGGAGAAGACTGGGCATTTATCTGGTCTTAATTTTGAATAATTGTCCATGAGTATCTCTCAAAGTGTCTCAGCATTTATTTATAGCTTTCCATAGTGTTCTTCAGGGGCCTAAAGCTCATTCAGCCAGTGTGTTGATATGGTGTCTTCAATGATTGTTTGGAATAACTGTGCCATTAGAGTTTCGGGGAAACAGTATGAAAAAAGGCTGACATCTCTGCATGCAAATTATTTGTATCCTAATCGGCAAAAGAATATTTGAAAGGTCCTTTTTTATTTTTGTGAATGAGCACATAAAATAATGTACCCTGAGAGAGCTTTTGCTGCATAGGAAATCAATGCAATATCAGGTCACATGGAGACATTAACCTGATATTGTTCTAATTCCTCAAGCAACATGGGAAGTATTTTGACCTCTCCCCTGCTCTCTTCCCATTGCTTCCAACTGTGGCTTCTGTGTTGTGCACGCATGTAATGAGAGTCTGCCTACCCCCAAATGCAAATAAGGCGTCTGTGAATGTAATTATAATCCTCAAATGGTAGACGTACTCATTAATATGGTTTTGCAGAAAATAGTTTTCTTATGTAAGGCGGAAACATCTTAATGTAATCTTGTAATATGGGCTTCTTTTTATATGCCAACATTACTTAGCACAGCCCTCCTGAATTCGGGGTGATTTACTTAATGTCCTTCAATTTCACGGTAGCAATCACGCTCTCTGTTTTCTCCTAGGAGTCATCTCTACTGCAGACATCCTGGATCGAGAGACAACAGGGTCCTACTGGCTGACAGTGTATGCCACAGACCGGGGCGTGGTTCCACTCTATTCCACTATTGAGGTCTACATTGAAATTGAGGACGTGAATGACAATGCCCCGCTGACCTCAGAACCCATTTATTATCCTGTCGTCATGGAAAACTCTCCCAAGGATGTGTCTGTCATTCAGATTCAAGCTGAGGATCCTGACGCTAGTTCCAATGAAAAACTGACATACAGGATTACAAGTGGGAATCCTCAGAATTTTTTTGCCATCAATATCAAAACAGGTAAGGGCATGCTCATATGACTCTTTAAAATTGGTAGTCCAGCTTTTAAATACATCGGCCTGACGCTTGCTTACTTATATTATTTATCCCCTTATTTATTTTGTGTGGAGAACAGAATCCTCCTTTCAAAGGGGGGTTTCTGAAAAGCTAAGCATTCTACTATCTATGGTATATTTACGTTTCAACTGATACCAAGGTGAAGTGATCTAATAAAAATTAGAGGCTTTTATAGAAAGCCTTGTATTTGCTTTATTCCAAAGTAAACATAAATGGCCCAGCTGGTGTGACTCAGTGGTTGAAGGTTGTCCTATGAACCAGGAGGTCACAGTTCGATTTCTGGTCAGGGCACATGCCTAGATTGCTGGCTTCATCCCCAGTGTGGGGTGTGTAGGAGGCAGCCGATCAATGATTCTCTGTTATCATTGATGTATCTATCTCTCCCTCTCCCTTCCTCAAATATATATATTTGAAAAAAAAATTTTTTAAATGGTTCCAGGATACTCAGAGGGCCAACTACCATCTTTCTGTTTCTTGGGAGAGAGTAACTTGGCTCTGGGTGAGCTATCTGTGACACGCCTCCTTCTCAGAACTTCCTCCTTGCTCATTCTCAGTCCTGCTTGCTGTAAGAGCTCCTTAAAGTCTTAACTTTAAAAGCCTGTAGTTTCTTGTGATTCCTATACCTACCCATCAGTGAAGTCTCAGTGTTTAGGAGAACTTCTGGTGTCCCAATCTCTACACAAAGTATACCAACATTTAATTTTCTGGTCTTTTGCTCAAAACATTTCTAGAGAATGTAACAAAAAAAAAATGTTTTAATAAGAATCATCAAGGGCCAGAGTGGAATTTGTTGGAATGCATTCTGAGACAAGTATGTAGACTGGAAAATGCTTTGTAGAGCGAATCTCAGTTTGTTGCTTTCTTGTGATTTGCCTCTTCTAGATCTTAACTCAGGAAGTAAAACACTCAGTGAGAGTTGTGATGGATAAAGTTTTAATTAATTGAAATTTAGAAGAATGTAAAAAACAGATACTATTGCTATCACACCCTGGAAAAGTGAAAAGTTAGGGTAGGTTGTTATTTGTTGGTGTGGACACTGCTAGGTTTCCAAACAAACTGCTGATCGTGTTGGTAGTTATTTCTCCTGCCTGTGTTTGTTAAAGTAGAAACACACAGCTGACCCCAGGCATTTTATAAATGTGAAGTTCCCATTAACATAATTTGAAGAGAATGCCAAGTATTTTGGAAACTATTGATTTTCTCTAATGATGAGTGAGTCGGTCATTTGGTTAAGCGGAGTTTAGCATTCTAACAGTGTGGAATCAGGATTTAAATTGTGTTTCATTACAAAAAAGAGTGGTCTTCCTCTGTCAGTGAGTGAGGCCTGCTTGAACCTGAAGAAGTCTCAGAGATTTGGAGCCTGGTCCAACGTTTCAGAGCCCCATTAAGTGGGGAAAATGGCTGGTGCACTTGAAGAACGCCTGAGCTGTGCTGGGAAGTCCCTCCCGATTCACTTTCTTGCTATAACAAAGAGCTCCGTGTCACATGGTGACAGAGAAATAAATTCTGATACGTTAGAAAGTTGAGAGAGAGAGAATAGTGGCAAAAAAGCCACAGTAAAGAGGTCGAGGACACAAACATCTTTACATTTCATAGCCCCTGTGGAATCTGAGATACCAAGTCGGATTCTGCATCTTCCACCTTGATTTCATTAGCCCTTGATCATTAACAGTGAGCCCAGCATGCTCCTTATGATAAAAGACACTGCAGAAGGGCACTTTCAATGGAAAATAAAGGAAGTGTGAATGTCACAGGGAAGAACTGGGCTTGGATGTGAAGAATGTAGACTGTACATTATGTGCAGAGAATCTATATACGCGTGTAACCAAAGCTGTCTTTTTTTATAGCTTTTTAAAAAGTGTGCACAGGAATGTTCAGAAAATATTGTATTCCTACAATTTGGCCTATCTTACCTAATAAGAGTCTTAATCATATTTCTAATTTCTATGTTTTTGCGATAGATTTTTAAAAGCATTTGTGCTAGGAATGACATTTTAGACTAACTTTTTAAATTGCCTATGATAAATATATAGCATACTTTGTAATTCTCAAGCACATGGTAAGAAAACACTGGATATTGTTTATTCATTTGATCGCTCACCAAGCAAATGTTGTGCCCAGTAGTTTACAAACAAGATCTAATAAATAAGATATGTTCCAATTTTTTCAGGGACCCAAGGAAAAATGAAATTAAAATTATTTATATATATACACACACACACACACACACACACACATACACACATATATATATGTATACACACACATATATAATACAATAAAAAGTACAATAATTGATTATGGTAGAGAAGTTTCACTCATTATGAGATTAGTGTGAGTGATAGTCAAGGAGTGCTTCATGGAGGAGGTGACATTTGAGATTAGAAGTCTTATGTTCCCAATCCTTTTGCTGCACTTCCTGAGAAACAGGAAAACATAGACTATATCAGACAGCTTCCCCAACTTCATGAACTTGGGAAAGTTCTTGAGCTCTCTGAACTCCAGTGTTCAGGGAGCAGGGATTGTTGGAAGGACTATCGAAACCTCCTGTGAAATGCTTTGCATGGTGCCTGGCACAGTGAAGCTGTGCATTGCAGGCTGAGAGCATCCTGAGGGCTTCCACTCTGATTGCAGGCGTGCCATTTAATCCCCTTGCACTTCAGATTCTTAGCTGGAGAGTGAGAATGACCTTACTCACTACACAGGGTTGCTCATGAGACTGAATGCCATGCTGTGTTTGAAGGCTCTAGGTAAACTACAAAGCTCTGTAAGAATTGTGCTTTTACTATGGGCATTTCTATTGGGATTCGCAGAACCACAGGCCTGGTGCAGTTTTGTTAAGCGTGTTGCCCTAAGTACCACAGTGCCTGTGGAGCAATGCTCAGCCAGCTCAACCAACTTTCCAAAGAGACATTTTCATTTTTGGCATTCCTTCCTGTCTCCCTGAAGTCATTTGCCTGAAATAGTTATGTTAATGTAACATTTTTTAGTAATGAATCTGGAGATGTACCTACCCAGGATATTTAGGGAAGATTTGTGCTTTAGATTTTCTCAAGTAAAAATTGGATGTAGACTCATTTAAACTGACCTTTCAGTCCTTCCTCTGGGTTAGAGCTGAAATTTATAGAGTTTTGTTTTGTTTTGGCAATGTGCTACATAATAAATAGAGATTAAAATGATGAATGCAAAGTCAAATACTATCAATAATTATGATCCACAGCTTGCAGCAGATAACAGATGTCCTGGACCCAGGAAGGGAGAGAGGTTTCTGTATTGAACACTCTGTTCTCTCTCCGAAGAACTGTTTGCTTTTTTTCTACCAGATTTGAAATCACGTAGTATCAGTAGTCTGTGGACCTTCTTCAGTAATTCCTGTGGCTTAAGAAGAAAAACAAAAGCTGTAATGGTGTGAGGTCCTTTCTGGCCTGTGCAGAAACATTTGATTAATTCCAGGCTGAGCAGTTGAATTCAATCAAATGCAGCCCCCTCGCATGTGCATGCCTTCGCCAGTCAGTAACTAGAGCCCTGCCTGTGTGCTCTGCACAGCAGACACCCAGCACACTGGTGTTCGCTTGCTTTTTGGGTGAGCAGGACTCAGAGACTTCTTTTTAGCACTGGTAAGGAAATCCAAGCTGGCTGCTGATTGGTCATCCAGGCTGAATTAGGGAACAGGTGTAGGAAGTTAGTTCCTTTAGGGCAGCGGTTCTCAACCTGTGGGTTGCGACCCCTTTGGCGGTCGAACAACCCTTTCACAGGGGTCACCTAAGACCATCCTGCATATCAGATATTTACATTATGATTCATAACAGTAGCAACATTACAGTTATGAAGTAGCATCGAAAATAATTTTATGGTTGGGTCACAACATGAGGAACTGTATTTAAAGGGCCAGAAGGTTGAGAACCACTGCTCTAGGGGTTCAGAATGTTTACTCCAGTCCTGTCTACATGCATGGAATCCACTTAGCACAGCGCCAACACTTAATAAAACACTCAGTGGACGTTAGTTGTTGTTCTTGTTAGCCATCCTGTATTCCTCACTGGGATAAAGTTTGTGTAAGTTGCAAGCATACACCTCCACTGTCTTGAGGAAGGCGTACTTGAAAGGTAGCGATGTCTCTTTTTACCAGTTAGTATGTAGCATTAAAGCCTTCCATTCAGTTTAATAAAGTATACTTGAGGCCCAGTGCACGAAATTCATGCAAGGGGCTTGGCCCTTGCAGCCTCGGCCGGCCCTTGCAGCCCCAGCTTCGTCCAGAAGGTTGTCTGGAGAGTTGTTCTGCTATCCGGTCTAATTAGCATATTAGCTGTTTATTATAGAGGATTGTGCACTACTTTGTACTGCTGCTGTTCTAGACCCCAGATGTTGGCAGGATAGATAATATTACAAAGTATAAAATGGTTTATGCAATCAGGGAATTTAGCCTCATGGGGAAAACTAGGAATCCCATGAGGCAGTTTGTAAAGCTATGGTCAACCTCCGTGGGATGTCAGCTGTGAACAAGGTCACATGTCAGATTAGGGGAGCTTGGTGCCAGCTGGAGTAGAGGGGCTGGAGCAAGGACTCCACAGACCTGAAGTGGGTCCCGAAGCGTGGGTCCATCTGCACAGAGAAAAGCCAGAGGGCGACCCAGGGAATAGAAACCAGTTACACTGACCTTGAAACCCATCTGTTGCTACTAGAGCTAGTTTGAGAGGCACTGTATGATTAGAAAAGGAATTTTAAAAGACTCATAATTGCCTGGAGTGTTGCAAGATATCAGGAGTAGCAAATATGCACACCTCCTTGGCTTTTTTAGTTTGATGATATCTTTCATTGTGTATTTTTTAAATATATTAAAATCTGTATTTTTATAACTTCCTTCAGAGAGGCCTACTTGAAATAAACGTAAGTCTAAGATCAGCGTGGGCTGTGTTGAGGACCTGTGTCTTTGAAAGCACTCC